ACATACCAAAATTTGAGGAATGCTATGAAAGCACTATCTAAAAGTATACAGCACTGAACCCCAACATAAGAAAAGATATCATGACAATGACATTAGCTTCAAAGTTAAAATTAAGTAGAAAAAACAGCAAAAACATAAAACAAAAAATAGAAACAGAAATCAATAAAATAGGAAACAACAACAACAACAAAAACCCCAAGGAAACCAATAGCTGATCTTTTGGAGAAGATTAATAAAAACCAATAAACTTCTATAAAGACTGATAAGGGGGGAAAAAAGCCTACTAAATATTCACTAATAGGAATGAGAATGTTGATATCACTACAGATTCAAAAGGCATCCAATCATATATATAATTCTACACAAAATAATAAACAACTCTATGCAAATAATCATTCAGCAACTTAGAGGAAATGGACTAATTATATACACAATTTACCAAAGCTCACCCAAGAAAAACTAGGTAACCTGAAGAGCCCTGAATACATAATTTTAAAATTTCCCCACAAAGAAGCCCATGTAGCTTCACTTTTACATTACTAAAAATGGTATTATTCCTTCCTTAACTGTTTGCACATTTCACAGGCATGGTTAAGAAAGATAAGAAAGAAAGAATACAAAGTGGAGCATTCACCCTAATATGATGAACAAGGTAAAGTGAGTAAATGCCCACTCTCATTGCTTTTTTTGAACACTGTACAAGCCGTCATAAGGGAAAAAGGAGGCAGGAACACCCAAATAGGGAGAAAACTGTCTGCCAACAATTGGATGTAAATAGTCTATACAGAACATCCAACAAAATGTACATAAAAGGCTAGGGTTGTGGCTCAGTGGTAGAGTACTTGCCTAGCACCTGAGGAACTGGGTTCGATCCTCAGCACCACATAAAGATAAATAAGTAAAACAAAGGTATTGTGTCCACCCTCAACTAAAAAAAAATTTTTTTAATCTATCAGATCAATGATATTAGTTTAACAAGGTGTTGGATACAAGAGCATCATGCAAAAATCATTTGTGTATCTAAACACTAGCACCAAACACCTGGAAGTTGCATTTTTAAAAACATCATTTATAATAACATCAAAAGATATGAAATATTTAAGGATGATTCTAACAAAAGATGTAGAAATCCTGCAAACTCAAAACTAAAAACAATACTGAATTATAAATATTATGTAAACAAAGAGGGTACAAAGGACGAAACCTTAAGATGTCAATTTTCTCTGAACTGCTCTACAAATTCAACTCAAATTCAGTAAAATCTCAGCATATTTTCTGTGATCCAGAAGAGCCAAAACAAGTTTCAAAAGGAACAAAGTTGGAGGACCAAGACTACCTGATTTCAAGTCTCAATACATAGCTAGCGATTAAGACAACGTTTTTGGCATCTGGATAGACAAAAATGGGTCAATGGAAAAGAGCAGAGTACAGAAATAGAATCACACATACATAGATAATTGATTTTTGACAAAGCTATAAAGCCAATTCAATGGAGAAAAAAAGTCTTTTCAACAACTTGCAACAGAAAAACTGGATGTGCACATCCAAATCCAAAAACTTGACCCATACTTTGTACTATATTCAAAAAATTAACTCAAATTATCAGTTTTAAACCAAAATATAAAATATCCGTTAGTAAATAAAGTATTTTTAAGTTAGGTAAAGATTTGACTGATAGATGGACAAAGTAGTGCACACCTGTAATCCCAGTGGCTTGGGAGGCTGAGGAAGGAGGATCCTCCAAGTACAAAGTAAGCCTCAACAACTTAGTGAGGTCCTAAGCAACTTAGCAAGACCCTGTCTCAAAATAAAAAAATAAAGAGCTGTGATATGGCTCAGTGGTTAAGTGTCCTCTGGATTCAATCTACAGTACAAAAAAGAAAAAAAGGATGACTGATTCGTAAAAGCAAAAAAGCATTGTCCATAAAAGAATAAACTAGTAAACTGAATGGAATTCCTCAGTTAGTAACTGCTGCTCTTCAAAATACGTTTAGAGAATGAAAAGTAACAGAAAATGTTTGTGAACCATATTAATTGATAAAGGACTTTCATCTAGAATAAAGGCTTCTCAAAACTCATAAAATAAATAATCAAAATTTTAAAAGTTGGGCAAAAGATTTAAACAGACACTTCACAGAAGATCATAATAGCGGACGAAAAGATGTTCAGCATCTATGGAATACAAACTAAACTGTAACTATCACTTCGTAGACATTAGGATATCTATGATCAAAAAATACAGATAACAACAGACATTGGAAAAGATATAGAGAAACTGGAAATCTCATACCCTACAGATGGCCTATAAAATGGTACAACCACCATGGAAAACAGTATGCATTTTCTTAAAGATATGCCTATCATATGATCTATCCATTTTGATTATGGGCTCCAATAGGGGGGAGCATATAGTCACACAAAGACATGCAGGAAAGCTTACAACTTTATTTATAGTAGTCCCAAACTTGAAACACAAATGTCCACTCAGAAATTAATCAATAGCAGAGGTGCATGCCTGCAATCCTAGCCACACAGCAGGCTGAGGTAGAAGGGTCCCCAGTTTGAGGCCAGACTGGACAACTAAGCAAGAACCTATCCCAAAATAAAAAGGGGTAGAGATGTAGGTGATGTCGCTTAGTAGTAGAGCATCCCTGGGTTCAAGCCCAAGTACCGCCAAAAAAAAAAAAAAAAGTTAAATAAATAAACTGCCATATAGCCATACAGGATGCCACTAAGCAACAGAAAAAAATGGACTACTGATACACAAGTAAATCTCAAATTATTTATGATGTGTGGAATAGTCACACACATAAAAAAAAAAAAAGATACATATTGCATGATTCCATTTATTTAAGTCTAAAAACTGCAAACTATAGTGACAGCAAAAGAGTGGCTATTTGGGAGAAGAAAGGAAGAAGGGAGGATTAAAAAGGGGCAAGATGGTATTTCTGGGCAAGATATTTCTCAAAGCAATAGATACTATCTTGCTGATTTGACATATACATGTGAAAGCATTATAGACTGTAGATACGGGTTGGTTTATGTTAAATTACATCTCAATAAAGTTATTTTTTTTAAAGGCAAGATGTGGACCAAAACACGTACTACTTTTAATCCATCTGTGTAAACAAAGATAGCCATAGTAATATGTAAATCAATAATTTCAGGAAAAAATTAAAATAATTACCTAACGAAAGAAAAGAACTCAATCAGGAAGAAATGTTTCACTTTACATTTTTAAAAAATAAGCACGTGTTACTTTCTTTAAAAATAACTTTTTTAGGGCTGGAACTATAGCTTGGTAGCAGAGTGCTTGCCACACACCCAGGAGGCACTAGGTTCAATCCTTAGCACCACATAAAAATAAATAATAAAGGTATGCTGTCCATCTACAACTACCAAAAAAATTTTTTTAAATAACTTTTTTTAAAGAAACCTAATTGTACAGTCTGACATCAAAGCAAAAAGTCTTTTAACCATAATCCTAGAAAACTAACTTTAGTTATTCCAACTTTCATATAAAACTGTTTTCTAAATTGTTGGTAACTATTTTTATATCATTTTGTAATGTTTCTTCCTCAAATCACTAATATAAAAAACTGACATAACCAATACATCATATATGAACATCCTATTCCAAATATCACTTTTTTCTTCCTTTTCATTCTAGGTCTTGTCTATAATTTTCTTTTCTCTTTCTTTTTTTTTTTTTCTTTTCTCTTTCACTAATGATGAAAAACTCATACTTGTATTAATTTATTTTTTTACAAAAGAAACTTGTGTCATTTATTATTTTACAAAATTCACATTAGAAATTTAGTTGAATATTAACTCCAACAACTACATTTTGAACTCTTTGAGTTATTCCCTATTTTAAATCCCATAACTTTCAATTTTGAAAAAATCAATATCCAAATTAAATATGCAAGTTCATTATTTCTCCCCCAATCTATATAATATGAACTCAAGAAATAAGCCTAAATATTAATGCATGGACAAATATCTAGTTCACTAAAAAACAAGAGCAACATCTGCAAAAATATTCTAAAGAATTATCACACTGGACTGGGGCTGTAGCTCAGTGGCAGAGTTAAAAGTTGCCTAGCACATGTGAGGCACTGGGTTCGATCTTCAGCACCACATAAAAATAAATAAATTAAAGACATGCTGTCTACTTACAACTACAAAAAAACCCCCCAAAAAATCACACTCTTGTGGATGCAATTCTAAGAATTCCAAAAAACATAATAAACAGTCAGTTTCAAAGGACTAAACAGCATTCCCAAGACTACTCACACTGGCAAGGGCAGTGGTTGAAGGGGTAGGGGGAATCTCATTATTGTGCCAGGCTTGGGAAAATAAAGTTTAAAAACAAGGATTAGGCTAGGGGAACATCTCAGTAGTAAGAACAGTAGTGTGTACAAGGCCCTGGGTTCAATCCCCAAGACCAAAGGAAAAATAAATAAATAAATGACAAGAATCATGCCCTAACAGGTTTAGAAACAAAAACAAAAACACCAAGATATTTGAAAGTCTAATTACTGAAAGAATAAAAAGACCTAACCATTAGTACCAAAGCATAAAAGATGAGTATTATTTTTAGCCAAAAAGTGAGGAAGGTCAATTTCCTTTAATAGACAAATTTATGTGACTCAAATTTAAAGCTAATTGCCTAAAACACTTTCTTTTTAAGGGTCAGGACAACTCATTTCTAGTGTGTCTTACTATTGATAAAAAATATTTTCATAAGACAAAAGAAAGTTTGTATTCTTACAAACTTCCAGTTCAACAAAAACATATGGTTATTTATTAAGATTAACCAACTTTATGGTGGTTGATTATTCATACAATCTGACTTTACAAATTAATTTTATGCTTGGGTTTTTTTTTTTAGCTGTGTCTTAGTTTTCAAAGCTAAATGAAATTCTCCATTAATTGCAATAATAGTAGATCCAAAAATCCTCTATTTTTCAAGTTAGTTTCAAACAATCTTCTCCTACCTTCACACCAACAGCAACCTCAGTGACAATTCTGTAAGAAAAAAATAAATAATTTCAACTTCTTGTTATTCTTCTAATGATCATCATTTGACTCTCAAACTTTTCAGAGTAATTCATCATTCATAATTCCTCAAGACACTTTATAATATAGATGGAAAACAAATAGACTGATGGTCAATGAAACTTCTTTATAATATTATTAAACTGTTATCTACAAATAACTTTCAAACATAAGACACACTTCAGTAAACATAAGGTATTTTTTAACAACATTTTCAATAGCAAAGATAAAAATCCAAAAAAAAAAAAAAAACACTATAATGCCAGTCCTATATTAATAATTTAACACTTAAAACTTTTTAGTATACTAGGTAGAATCTGGGAATTGTAAAACATGAATTCCAGCACAAGTTTTGCCATCAATTTCCCATGGTGATTGGGGGAGAGGGGGGTGAATACTGTACTTCTTTGCATCTGTTTGAGCTGGAAAATCATCTTTAAAATAACTTCTTGGATGAATTAAGCTCTAGGGCCTGTTAGCTCTCATGATTTTCATTTAGTATCTTTAAAAACATGAAACTCTAGACACTTACACTTAACCAAAATAAATTAAGATTTTTACTTTTGACTCTTCAGACACTGTCACTAACTTTAATAAATGTACCTGCTAATTGACACTGGTTTTTCACAGCCAAAGGGGCTGTGGACTGCTATATTTTTGCCCTAACCTGTGCCCCCCTTTTAACAATGAATTAAACTGAGTCATTTCAGATGTGGAGCCTTATTAGTACCACAGAGACAGTGGTCCATATCATTTCCCAAAGCCCGCGCGTTTCTCACCTCTCACCATTCTATCTTCACTCTTAGGCTCTCAAAGATGCAACGCGGTTCTATCTTTTGGTAGTTTCTGTTTTTTCCGCAAACTAGCCAAAGTAGCTAAAAAGGTGGCCCAATGTTGACTACCTGCTCTTGTTTCTGCCATGGCTGTTGGCCTTTGCCCATGTGACTGATGTCGACCTCAAACACTTCGGGGTTTTTTTTGCATGATTTAATTTCTAGGCCCTTTTGCCAAGCCTTGAATGTTCTTAGGCCCCACAAAAAGGCATTTTTTTTAATGCCTCCTGCCCCCGTTCCCAGACTCGGATGAAAACAAAGGAGTATGACATCTGCCCTCCCCCTCCGCCGCACGCCCTCCCCCCTTCCCCAGCGGCTCCCACTCGGCTTTCCCCGGAGCTCCCGCCACCGGCATCTCTCCCGGCCAGGGCGGGCGAGGCCGGGGAGGCCGGGGATGGCCAGGTCCACGGCGAGTGCCTCTCGAATCCCCATGAATCCCGCACCACGGACCCGTCTCTGCCCACGCCGTTGGCTCCTACGGGAACCCCTAGCCCAGGGCTCGGGTCCCGGGGTACCGATCGAAATGGCTCCTAGAGGGGGCAGGGGCGGGTGCGACGTCCCGGGGTTCCCTCCCCATCCCCCGCCGCCACGCCGGTGCCCGCCCCCCTCCCCGGGGCCGCCCCCCCGCCGTCGCCCCAATGCTTCCCCGGCCTCGGAGCCCGCTTTCTTCCCATTTTCTCGACCAGAGCCCGCCGGGGGAAGCAAGGGGAGGGGTGTGTGCGATGGGGCGGGGGTTGGGTAACGGCAGCCCAGCCCAGGGAGGGGCCGCCCGAGGGTTTCTCCCCGACCCCGGACACCGGCCGAAGGACGGTCCAACTCCTCTCTCGCACACATCTTTTCACCGACCCCATTACATACCCGTCCATTGCCGAACCGGACAAAGCTTCGCTCACAAGAACCGAGCCACGCAGCCAGCGAGCCACACAAGCGGCGAGAAAATGGCGGCCAGAGCCCGACGGAAATTGCCGAAGGTGCCGGAGCGCACCGGGCAGCGCGCGGCAGCGGCAGCGGCGGAAAGAGCCGAGCGCGCCGGCGCCCCGCCGCTGGAGACGAGCGGCCCGGCGCGGGGACAAGGGGGAGTGGGCGCCGCAGCCGTCGCCTCCTTCGCGACGCCGCGCGCTGGGCTCCCTCCGCCCACCGGGACCTGGCCTGCTGCTGCTGCTGCTGCTGCTGCTGCTGCGGGGCTTAGCGTCTTGGCTTCTTCCCTGGGCGGTATGAACCGGCCACCTCCCGGCCCTCGATACCATCTGCCCTAGGATGGCCCTGGGCTGCAGGACTACCTCCAATGTTTCCTCTGATCCCAGTTCCAACTGGGCTACCCTCTACCTTTGCGGGCCAACGGGAAAATATGTTATCACTTGCCTCCTATGCCATCTTTTATTTACAGACTCTCTTCATCCTCTGAAACAAAAATTCACTCGACTGAACCAAGACCATTGTTTAGTAAAAGCAATACTTCGAAAGCAAGTAACTCATTAGAAGCTGTTACTTGCAAAACTGGCATCAATCACATCAAGTGATTCTCATTTCAGTTGATAATTAGCGTGCACCTGTGGAAAATGATCACAGTGTCCTGAGTAGAAAACACAGGTTGAGCCAAGTCTTAGTGTTTGTATAAAAATGCCACCAATCCTTAGGGTCTAACGTTTGGGGGTGTAAACGGGAAAGTAGGGATGAAAGTAGGGACAAATGAGTCTTCATTCACTTTTGGTTAGAGAGGATAGAAACATTGTTTTCCATGTGTCTCACACTCTCAATCTTATTTTTAATTATACATACTTATTATGTATGGTATATACAACGTACGTATTACGCACAACTACTGGTGACTGAATCCAGGGCAACTTTACCACTGTGCTACTTCCCTAGCTTTTTTTTTTAACGACTTAGCCCTTGCTAAGTTGCCTTGGTTGGCTTGGACCTTGCAATCTTCCTGCTTCAGCCTCCAGATTTGCAGGATGGTCTCAAATTTTAATTGTAAAAGGCACAGTGGGCAATTTCATTTAACATACTCTTATCAGACAACCAACAGAGTTTGAAAAGGCACCCATATTTGGAAAATTTGGTCAATGGTGACTCCTTTGCCAGCCGTCTTCTCTCACCATTCACCCCAACTCCCAACACACACCAACCATCTTAGGGAATAACAAATATTCCCTACATTTCACCAATTACTGTAAATACTCACTCTAGGTTTTCCCATATCTCCTTCAAGAAAACCTCATGTCATTTACTAACTGGAATTTCATTCACTATATTAAGTAAATGGTAATTTCTGTATTATTTTTATTACTACTTAGTAATAATAATAATATTACTATTTAAATAGGACAGAACCTTATAGAGCATCTTATCCAAATACCATGAACTGGTCATGGCGCAGTTCATGCCTGTAATTTCACCTACCAGAGAGTTAGTTTGAGCAGGAAGATCACTCAAGCCCAGGAGTTCCAAACCAGCCTGGGCAACTTAGACTCTGCTTCAAAACAGAAACAAAATTATTGTCATAGAACTCTTCAGAATACTCGAATGTTTAAATAGTCTTGATTTCATTAAGGAATTTTCATTTCTAAACAAAATAAAATTTAATTCCTTAAAAATTAACCTTATTTATTAGAATTATTTTTAATTTATTAGAATTTATTATTTAATTAATTTCTTAATTTCTTAGAATTTAATTTCTTCAATCTTCTCCTCTTCTCCTTAATCATTGACTTATGATTAAGGACCTATTATCAGTGCGATTCATAATCACTTTTCATACATTTGTGGTTTTATACATGCATTTTCACTTAACAATTAAATACATATGCTCCCAAGGGACAAGACCTATCACATTAGTTCTCTAAGTTCCCCACATTGGCTCAATCAATATTGATTAATTTGTTCTTGCTTTATATTGGCAAAGACAAACTCTTCCATGAGGGGGTACAGAATTTCTTTTTCTTCCTAATAAAGTACAATATGGCAAATAAACAATAGTCAATAGGCTTAATTATTTAAGCAAACATTTTCTAGAAAGGATTTAAGGTAGTTTACAAGTTGAGCTAACATAAAGTACTAGGTTAAAAAAATGAACTAAGAATTAAGACAAAACAAACATGAATCAGGAATGAGGCTAATTCAGCAACATACAGCAGTATTATCCCTTCCCTCTCTTATCCAAGGTTTCAGTTTTGATGGTTAACAAACATCTTGAAATTTTAATTGGAAAATTTAGAAATAAACAATGTATAAGTTTTAAATTGTGCCCATTCCGAGTAAGGAATGATGAAATCTCTACCATGCCTCTGTCTCACCTAGGATGTGAATCATCCCTTTGTTCAATGTATACAAGTTATACATTCTACCCTCCAACAATCACTTAGCAATTGTGTCTCTAATCAATTTGATCATCATGTAATCTCAGTTCTTTTGTATTTGAGTAATACTTGTTTTATTCAATAATGGCCCCCAAATCCAAGAGTAGTAAAGCTGGCAATTCAGATGCCGAAGAGAAGCCAAAAAGTGCTTCTTTGAAGAAAAAAGATGAAAGTATAGTTGAGGTATTTTGAGAGATACAACATTTACATAACTTTCATGTTGTGACCAATGTTCTTTTAAAAATATTGCTGTTAATCTCTTATTGTGCCTAATATGTAGGCTAAATTTTAACATAGGTGTGGGTGTACCAGGAGAGACAACACATAGAGAGGTTGATACCATCTACAGTTTCAGGCATTTGCTGAGGGTCTTGGAACACATTCCCTATGGATAGGGGCACTACAAAAACTGGTTAATTAAATCCTGGATTCACATTTGAGATCTTTCATTTAGTGGCTATGTCACGTTAGGCATCTTCTTTAACCTCCATAGGAAAAAGTATCCTTACTGAAAATGGGGTTAAAAAATAAGTTCTTTATCCTAGATGGTTTCAAGGTCTACATGACTTAATGTATGTAAAGCACCTCCCAAAGCTCAATGACTGGCCACAGTAATTACTTAATATAGGATGCTATCATCATCCTTATTATTTTGTTATTGCTATTACTATTCACTGGAGAAGGAATGAGCCACAAATTTGGTTCTTAGATTTTAACAGCCAGTAATATTCATATAAATAAATCTATATAAAGATTTTCAAAAAGGTTAAACATGTCACTAAAGTAATTAGATTGGCTGGTATCTAGAGGAATAAATCTGGGGAAATGTCATAGATAAATTTCTAAAGTCCCATTTGAATCTAAATTTGTATGATTTTATGAGTTAACTATGGGGTAGATTATTAATCTCAACATTAGCAGATGGCCAACCTTTTTTAATAGATGACAAGATTATATTAGTGTTTATGGATTCCTAACAAAATAAGGCAATAAAAAGTGAAGTGCTTAAGCAGTATTATTTTCATACCCATATATTTTTTCAGTACAATGATTTGTTCTTTCCCATCTGAATGGTAAATGTTTTGACCTTTTACAGAGATTTACACTTATGTGAACAATGATTAAATCTAAATTTCAGTTTATGCTAAGCCAAAATGAAGTCTAATATTGAGGCAGTAAAAATAGGAAATGGGATCATGTTCATAATGCTCTAATTTAATTCCTAGCCCCGCCTCTTGTCTGCTTATAGTACTAAATATATCACTTTTTTCATGAGTCAGTTTCTTCTTATGAGTAGAAGGAATAATAACAGGGTCAATTAAATGTTTTATTTTCAAATAGGTGGTATAAGTTCAAAATTGAGAAAAAAAATTAAAAAATATAAATGTGTAAATATAAAAAAGTAAAAATGTAGAGACAGAAAGTAGATTAAGTGATTGCCTAGGACTTGGAGTGGGAGTGGAAATAAAAGTAAATTTACATAAAGATTTTTTTATAGGATGATGTAAATGACCCAAACCTAGATTCTAGTGAAGTTATATAACTTAAATATATTCAAATTCATTGAATTAAGCACATAATATTTGTAAATTTTAAAGTATATAAATTATATATTAATAAAGTTGTTACAAAAAGTAAAGGCATATGCTTTGTACTCCTGCCCTCCAACTACTGAGTTTCTTATTCCTGAAGTAATCCATTTTATCAGCTTACTGCTTATCCTTTTGGAGATATTCTACCACTTATATAGTTCATAAACATATTTATTCTTTTCATTAAAAAGTGGTCACTGCTATGCACACTGTTCTGCAATATATTTTGTAATCTTGAAATAAGTATCTTGGAGATTTTTCCTTATCTGTATATTTAGAACTACCCTATTTTTTAATATATGGCTGCATAATATTCCACTGAGTTAGTCAGTCAGAATTTGTTTAACTAGATGATATTGATGGAAATTTAGGTTGCCTCCAATCTTGTTTTTTACAAATAATTTTGTAATGAATAATCTCATTTCTAAGTCATTTCCCACATAAAGATCTGCTGGATAAATACTATAAACAAAATTACTAGGTAAAATACATTTAAATTTTAAAAAAGGTTATCAAACACAGGATCCAAGAAAATCTGAGATCCAACATGTAGGAGAGGAAAAGGAAATTGGATGTTGGTGAAAGAAGCCCTATGCCAAGAGCCATATAGCAGGCCCTGTGTTCCAGTGGAATGTGGGGCTAGAGGTCTCCATGAAAGATATCTTCAGGAAAAACATGGAACATATAGATTAAAAAAAAAACACTAAATATATTGAGCAGAGGTTTATAGGGCTATTGGTAAGCTTAGGAAAAGCATTAATTAAAAATATTTAGATTTTTTTTAAAAAATAATAACTCTAGAACAAATAAAAAGTAGTTGGAAATATAGTCATAATCATAGTCATACCTGTGATTCAGTTGTTTAAAAGCTATGTCTTTATAATAATATAACCACTAAATATTAATAAAATTAAGATTGTGAATCATTTAGTAGGATAGAAGGGAAGTATGAATGTGTGTATATG